ACGATTGTCCCATTCCCTGTCTTTTAGTAGAACGCTGTCTTCTGCTGAGAAGATCTGTTTTTATTTTCCCTGTCTATAAGTAGAACGCTGTCTTCTGCTGAGAAGATCTGTTTTTATTTTCCCTGTCTATAAGTAGAACGCTGTCTTCTGCTGAGAAGATCTGTTTTTATTTTCCCTGTCTATAAGTAGAACGCTGTCTTCTGATCATTTCTATAAGGAATCTATTGATCTATATTTTAACATCATTTCTATTTTGGATTAAAAAATCTATTGATCTATATTTTAACATCGTTTCTGTCATGGAATAAAAAAATATATTGATCTATATTTTAACATCGTTTCTGTCATGGAATAAAGAATCTAATTATCTACATTTGAACATCGTTTCTATCATGGAATAAAGAATCTAATTATCTACATTTGAACATCGTTTATATCATGGAATAAAAATATATTGATCTATATTTTAACATCGTTTCTGTCATGGAATAAAGAATCTAATTATCTACATTTTAACATCGTTTATATCATGGAATAAAAATATATTGATCTATATTTTAACATCGTTTCTATCATGGAATAAAAAAATCTATTAATCTATATTTTAACATCGTTTCTATCATAGAATCTACTAATCCATGTTTTTAGCGTTATTTCTATCATGGAATAAGGCATCTAGTAATCTGTATTTTTAACATCGTTTCTGTGATTTTTATTACCTGTACTAAATAGTCGGTTAAACTTCTAGATACCGTCAACGAGTAGGTGTAATCACTGTAAAAATCATGAAATGTGTTAATCTAATACCTGGAAAAGAATTAACATTATGTAAAAAAATAAACGTAATCAAATGGTTTACAACACACAATGGGAAGCACGTTGAACTAGGGCTCGTGATTAGAACGCTCGGCTCGCAATCTTTGGATCATCATAGGTGCCAAAAATTTCAGTAAGATATCTATCATGGTTTTTTCTATTCTCTTTAACGATGCCTCTAGTACCTTAGATGTTTTTAATGTTCTATATACTTTATATCTAATAATTGTAGTAATTATTAATTGTAATAATTCAATATTTTAGTTTAGTGTATAATCATCAATAGCAATTTAAATATTGTATAAATAATTCAGGTTTTTAAATTATGTGTCAGCCATATTAATCCAGATGCTTCATCTGTAAAATAGATAACTCAAGACAAACTTTATTCATGATTTACCAAATAATATCACCTGACGTTTCGGCAGAAGACAGCGTTCTACTTATAGACAGAGAATATAAACACAGATCTTCTCAAAATCTATTAATCTATATTTTAACCCTTTATTCAATGATAGAAACGATGTTAAAATATAGATCAATAGATTTTTTATTCCATGATAGAAACGATGTTAAAATATAGATTAATAGATTCTATGATAGAAACGA